GACCCGTCAGTGCAGCTGAATGTTGAAGTGATGATAGATTGAATTTGACAGAAAAATGTATCAATGTGTTCAGAAAGGGACCTGTTGAGCGTGTTTCAGAGATAGCAGGAACTGCAGATGCTGGAGAATCTGAAGAAGGGTCGAGGCCCGAAACGTCAGCCTTCCTGCTTCACTGATGCTGCTTGGCCTGCTGTGTTCATCCAGCTCTACACCTTGTTATCTCTGTTGAGCGTGTTGTCCCATTTGGAAATCGTGCCTGTTCTGGCTCTCGAGAAAACAGATTATTTTAACGTTTGGAAGATTTCTGAACGAGGCAGGAAGGTCATTTGATACGCTGATCTTCAACAGTAATAGCTTTTAAAAAAAGCTGGCAATTGTAAGGAATTTCATGAATGAGGGTCACATTTTACATCCATTGTTAATATTAGATCTGTGATTGAGGGAAACAAGGTGTCTCAGGTAAGCTCCTGAACAAATTTCTGCCTTTGCCTATTAGAATGGATCTGATGTATGGTCCACTGGAGTCATGAACTGATTACTCTAAGCTGGAACAATATTTATAAATTACAAATTCTGTTTCTACTACGTTACAAATGACAGGTATTTTTAATACAAAGCACTGTAGTCATTGTGTAGTTTCTGTGGGGTTTAGGATTGATGTTTGTGTATCACCCTGTAATTGACTCCAGCATATATTTGCCTGTACATAGTTGACATCAGTAACCCAGGAGTATTGCAAAAAACAGTGCATGGAATTTGTTAGAATAGAAGGGAGCAACAGACCGTAAATTAGAAAACACTTTGGGTGCTGGCAGTCGATGTCACAGTTGCTGTTGTCAACCAAGTTGTGTAAAATAATCACAGCTCTTCATTAGACCTTCTTCGAGGTTCACTGCAGCATGACAGCTGGCAAGGAGGTATGGTTCTTGTTGCCATTTTTATCAACAGGCTTGGGTGAGGTGCTGGAAGAATGTTGAGCCATTATTTAAGGAAGGATGCAAGGAACTGCCAGGGAGCTACAGACTGGTGAGTCCGTGGTGGTTAAGTGGTTAGAGGGGATTCTGAGTGACAGGATGTACGTGCATTTGGAAAGGCAAGGACTGATGACAGACAGCATGGTTTTGTGTGTGGGAATTTGTCTCTCAAACTTGATTGAGTATTTTTTTGAAGCGACGACCGAGAAGATACACAAAGTGGTAGACATTGTCTACGTGGACTGCAGCAAGGCCTTTGAAAAGATTCCACATGGTAGACTGGTTACTAAAATTAGATCATGTGGGATCCAGGGACAGGTATGCAAATTGATACAAAAAAAAACAGAGGGTGGTGTTAGAGGGTTGTTGTTCAGACAAGAGGCCTGTGACAAGTGATCTGCCACAGGATTGGTGCTGGGTCCGCTGTTGGTCAATTTTTTGAACAATTTGGATGAGAATACAGAAGTTGTAGTTAGTAACTTTACAGATGACACCAAATTTGGTGGTGTAGTGGACAATTAAGAAGATTATCTAAGATTACAAAGAGATCTTGATCGACTGGGCCAATGGGCTGAAGAGTGGCAGATAGAATTTACTTCAGGTGTGAGGTGCTGCATTCGGTAAGACAAACTAGAACAGGACTTCAGCAGCGAGCGGTAGGGCCCTGGGGAGTGTTGTTGAACAGAGATCCAGGCGTACAGGTACCTGGTTCCTTCAGAGTGGCATCACAGATACACAAGGTGGTGACAATGGCATTCGGCATGCTTACCGTAGTCGGTCAGAGCATGGGACTCTTGTTGTTATGGCTGTACAAGACATTGGTAAAACCACATTTGAAGTACTGTGTACAATTCCAATCACCCTAATATCGGAATGATGCTATTAAACTGGAAAGGGTACAAAAAAGATGTGCAAAGATGTTACTGAGACTGGAAGGTTGAGTTATGAGCAGATGTTGGATATGCTGGGACTTTTTTCCTTGGAACGTTAAGTGGCTGAGGGGTGACTTGATAGAGGTTTATAAAATCATGAGGGGCTTAAGATTAAAAAAAAACCAAGGTCTTGTCCAAGGGTAGTAGAGTCCACAACGAGAGGGCATAATTTTAATGTGAGAGGAGAAGGGTTTAAAATGGACATGAGAGGTTAAGTTTTTCTCTCACAGGATGGTGTGCATATAGAAGGAACTGCCAGAGGAAGTAGAAGAGCTGAGTACAATTGCAATGTTTAAAAGACATTTACACAGGTACATGGATAGTCATACAGCATGTAAACAGACCCTTCCGTCCAACCAATCCATGCCAACCATAATCCCAAACTAAACTCGTCCCATCTGCCTGTGCTTGGCCCAAATCACTTTCAACAGTTCTTATCTGTGGACTTATCTAAAAGTCTTTTAAACATTCTTCTAACTACCAGCATCCATAGCTTCCTCATGCAGTTCATTCCAGACACGAACCATTCTATGTAAAACAAAAAAAGCCCCTCATGTTTTTTCAAAATTTTTCTCCTCTCACCTTAAAGATATGCCCCCCTCATCTTGAAATTCCCCACCCTAGGGAGAACACAACTGTCATTAACCTTATCTATACCCCTGCGATTTTATTAACCTCCTCTGCTGAAATAAGTAAAGTCTCAGCCTATCCAGCCTCTCCTGACGACTCAAACCCTCCATTCCTGGCAACATCTTGGTAAATCAGTTTAAAAAATTCTTCCTCTAACAGGGTGGTCAGAGCTAGGACACAGCACTCCAGAAGAAGCCTCACCAACATCATGTATAACCTCAACATCCCAACTCCTGTACTTAAAGGTCTGAGCCATGTAGGTAAACATGCTAAACACCTTAACCATCGTATCAATATGTGTTGCACACTTCAAAGAATTAGGTACCTGAACCTTTAGGTATCTCTGTCCTACAACACTACCTGAGGCCATACTTTTAATTGTGCAAGTCCTGCCATTGTCTGTTTCATAAAAATGGAATACCTCACATTTATCCAAATAAAACTCAATCTGCCACTCTTCAGCCCACTGATCCAAATGATCAAGATCTCTTCGTAATCTTAGATAATGTTGTTCACTGTCCACTATACCACCAATTTTAGTGTCATTTGCAAACTTACTAACCGTGTCTTCTAAATTCTCATCAAAATTGTTTATGTAAATGACAAACAGCGGATCCAATACCGATCCCTGTGCAACCCCGCTGGTCGCAGGCCTCCAGAACAAAAAAATAACTCTCCACCACCATCCTTTGTCTCCTCTCAAAGCCAATTGTGTCTCTAATTGGTAATCGCTCCCTGAATCCCATGTGATCAAACTTTACTAATTTAGTCTAACATGCAGAACCTTGTCACAGGCTTGACGAAAGTCCGGGTAAACAAGGTCTACTAAACTGACCTCAAGTATTTTAATTATTTCTTCAAAAAACTGAATCAAGTTTGTAAGAGGCTATTTCCCTTGCACAAAACCATACTGACTATCCCTGCTCATTCCTTGCCTCTCCAAATGCATATTAATCCTATCTTTCAAAATTACTTCCCAGAAATTACCCACCACACAGGTCTATAGTTCCCCTGCTTCTCTTTACATCCCTTCTTAAACAAATGTGCAACATTTGCCACACTCCACTCATTTGGCACCTCACCCATATTTTTAAATGGTACAAATATTTCTGCAAGGGGCCCCGCAATTTCATCCCTACTTTGCACGATGTCCTGGAATACTCTAGATCAGGTGACAGGGGATTTATCCATCTTTACATTTTTGAAGATCTCCAACATTTCCTATTCTGTAATATGAACTAATTTCAAAACATCAAAATTGATTTCCCTGACTTCCCTAGCTTCCTTTCTCCACAGAAAAACTGTTGCAAAATATTCATTAAATATTGATCCCATCTTGGTTCAACACCAAGATGACCTCTTGGATCTGTGTAGGTGCTCTCGAGCTCTCTTTTGGATTATCCTTAACCTTATTTGTTATCTTGTTCTTTGCTTTGCCTTGCCTTCCTCTTTATCTCAAGAATGCCTCTGCACGCTTAAGATTGTTTAAGAGATTCATTTGAGACCAGTTCTCTAGATCTATTGTGATGCCTTTTTGTTCTTGACAGGAACCTCAACATCTTTATCCATCTATTGTTCTCTACTCCTACTCGCCTTACCTTTCACTCTAACATGAACATAATGACTCTGAACTTCTGTTATTACAGTTTTGAAACCCACCCACGAGCAGATGTCTTTTTACATGTCAATCGTCTATTCCAGTGAAGTTTTTACAGTTCTTGTTTTATACCCATTAAAAACTGAAGTTTTATGGAAGGCTTGTCCTTTTTCTAAAGAAGGGTCTTGACCCAAAATGTCTGCTTTACTACTCCTGATGCTTTTTGGCCTGCCGTGTTCCTCTAGCTCCACACTGTTATCTCCTGTCCTTTTACATATTGTTTTTTAAAACTGAGAATTATGATCAGTAGATCCAAAATGTTCCCTTACTGTCACTGCAGTCACTTAGTCTGTGTTATTACCTAAGTGAACGTCAAGTTTTGCACCTCCTGTAGTAGGAAGATTTAAGTGTTGTTAAAATGTGTTGAATAAAATTTTCTTAAACTAATGCATTACCATCCAAACCTTTAATTCAATGATAGTCATAGTTCGTGTGGAAAATTCAAGTCCCTATTCTTTCGTGTAACTACATCTCTTTATATATTTGATCGGTGGGAGGGGCGGGGGGTTAGGAGTATACTGCAGTCCTCTTAAGGTGCTCGTTCTTTTTTATCTTTCTAATTTCAACCCCTATATTTTGACTGGACGATTTTCTCGTTCCTATTACATCTGAAACTGAGCTGCCTCTCCCGTTTTTCAGCCTACTTTCTGTCCATGAGACATAGGAGCTGTGACGTCCTAATCGCACGTTCAGACTCGCCTCCCACAGTAAGTGGGACTTGAACTGGGGCTGTGCTACTTCCGGGAGTGGGGCGGATTGCGGTGATGTCACCGCCTACGTGGCATGTTTCCTCAGCGGGGATGGGCCGGGAGTCGGGGCATGCGCAGTCCGGGTTGGTGGGAGCGGCAGAGGGCTCGCGCAGGGACCGTTGGAAAATTCAAACGGTCGGAGACGGCAAACAGCGCCCGCGACACTCGCTCGGAGTGAGGGCTGGCCGGCTGCAGCAAGAAACTGCTCAAATACCGCGAAAATGGCAGCCGCACCAAAGGCTAACAACGAGGACGCTGGTCTTAACGGTAAGTTTGAAGAGCCACCCCCCCTTTCTTCCCCCCCCCAGCACCAATTTTTTATTTTACATCGTTTGTAGTACCGCTGGGTTTTTTTCCAAAACAAATGAAAGCATAAACGTCTGTCGTTGGCGGTGTTGCCCAAGTCTGAGGATGTAGTTGAATTTGATTGATTGAGCCGCGGCCGTTCGGAGCTTGGACGGATTTTCCGGAGAAGAAAACTAAACAACGTAACAAGCGGAAATGTCACCAGTGTGAGTGACAGCAGCCTTAGCCAATGGGAGTTGGTGCCGTGGACTGTGGCCGGTGGGAGGCGGTGTCAATGTGAGGAGGAGGTGGAGCTAATGCAGCGCTGGAGCTGCATCAGGGAGCGACTGAAAACATATGTGGTAACTACTTCAATGACACAATAAGTCTGAGTGATCGTGTCTGTATCCCGGGACAGGGAGTTCTGCAAAGGTCATTCCAAGGTCTGCTTTCTCATAACAGGCTCGGGTGACCGGTTAGATTGGGTAGCCCATTGTCTGTTACAAGGAAACGCATGCTCAAAGAGCTCCTTGAGTAAATGAGTTAGTGAATCTCCATAGACGTTGTTAAAGTTATCGCATTCTGCCTGTTTTCATCCCTGAGCCAGATCACAGTGGCTGCACTCTCGGCTTGGTGTCAGAGGATTCTGGGTTCCAACTTCCCTGCGATAATAAAAACCTAAGCACTTGGTTCAGCTTGCTGCTTGCACTGTTGCACTGAGGGGATGCTGCACTGTTTGTTTTATCTGAAAGACAGTACCTCAATGTATGTTCGTGGGCCAAAAGGTGTTTGTGCCCTGATTTGAACAGAGCAGGGGATTTCTTGGCTAAATTTTATGCCTTTATCTGTCGTCATAAGAAGTTGATGTTTTGGGCCAATTTGGTAAATTGTCTGTTGTACTCCCAATGTTGATCGATTGAAACATTTTATTTTTTAGGAAAGTACCTTGTGGAAAGTGAATTGCTTTCACATACTGTGATGTATTTTTCATCCTCACTTGGCCAGCTTCCCACAAAGCTGTGGAATGCACCTGTCCCTGCAGGAGATATTTGTGGATTATGGTATTCAACTTTGCTATTAATCTGGAATGTGATGGTTGGTGATTTGGAATTAAATACTAGTATTGTGATTTTTTTTAAAAAAAAGGCGGTTTTTTAACTTAAGTAATTTTTAATGAAACAAATGAGTTTTAATTTGTGTCAGTGACCTGTTTCTGTACCATTATCTTAGCACGAATCAATGAAGACATTGATTCTGAGAAGATAACTTCCAAATTGAAGGGCTTTGAGTGACTGGAAGATACTTTACCCCATAGGAAACATTAGTTCAATGGAGAGCTGCTCTTCGAAACTGAAACTTGATTTTAACAAATATTTTATGCAAAGAAAACTTGTTTGTACACTGAAATGAAAAAGTATTATTACATTAGATGAATTGGGCAACTGGCTTACCTTTCAGCTGAAGCCCTTGTTTAGCGTTTTGTTTTAGTTACCTGTAGCTTGTTGTGCACTTAGACCAAAGGAATTACTTGAATGAAATGTACAGCCTCTTTTGCAGCAGAAAATGCAACTGAATTGATTTGTGCGGACAACATTTTGATGCTTCTGAAACCTTAAGAGACGTAGAGGCCAGTCAATCCGGGAAATAGAAAATCAGGTCACCAACTGGGACGTGAGCTTTGTTCAAACCAGTGATCAAATAAATAAATGTTATCGATCAGGTATCTGTTTTTCAGAGACGAGAGGCTGAGAAAAAGGAAGTAGCTGTCATGAATGTAAAGTATGCATGTTAAATTTTTTTTCCTTTATTCATTCATGGGATGGGGATGTTGCTGGCCATGCAGCATTTATTGCCCATCCCTAATTGCCCAATTGCAGTTCAGAGTCAACCACATTGCTGTGGGTCTGGAGTCACATGTAGGCCAGATCGATTAAGGATGGCAGTTTGCTTCACATTAGTGAACCAGATGAGTTTTCCAACAAGTGACAATGGATTCATGGTCATCCTTGCACTCTTCTTTCCAGATATCTATTGGATTCAAATTCCACCATCTGCCATGGCGGGATTCAAACCCAGGTCCCCAGAACATGATCTGGGTCTTTGGATTAACAGTCCAACAATAATACCACTAGACCATCGCCTCCCCACAACCTATCATTGTTAGATTCTGATCCTGTACCTTTCTCAGGCCGGGTTGCTTTATCGGTTATGTCTGACGAGCTTATAGAGCAAGTCGTAGACTACTTTGTGTCATTGAACGTAAATGTTTTGCATTGTAAGTTGAGTTATCAAAGTGTCAGTATTGAACAGTAAGATATCTGAAAATAAAAATGAACCAAGTAACTGCATTCCTTATTTTCAAATCATGTATTTCTGGTGTACAGTAACTAATGCACCAGGTTACTAACTTGTGTACTTATTATCTATATTTTTTGGTTGAGATAATACATTCTGGCAAATTGGACAGCTGAATTATAATGTGCGACTGAGCACTCAGTTGGCTAATTTTATTGTTTGTTTGGAATCTGTTGTCTATGGCAGTCTCTTATTGTGCAACTTCTTATTCAGAGGTCATTTGTATCTCTTGAATGGCTTGTAAAGTGAGCATTAACAGCCAAAGATTTTGAGTCGGATTTTCATTTTGACATTAGTTGTTTCATCCACTTCCATTATACACTCGTGTGTCCAAGGAAAATGAAGTGTATTGCGTCCCATATATCAACCTGTAATGCAGATGGCAGAGCTATTGAAAGAAAAAAGAACTGGAGTTGATGGAACAGTTGCACTGCTGTAGGGTGGAACGGCAATGACACAATTTCAAAGAATGCACCAAAAGGAACATGAAAGGAAAATTTTGCAGAATGTTTTCAAAGGTTTATGTGGCTATGTTGTATTCAGGGGGTGGGCTTGCCCACATTTAATGAAGACTGGCTACAGTAGTGCGTCAAGTTCACACTGCTCGTGTTTATCCGTTTGTACTGCCTGCCAAAATCTAACAGTATGAAATCCGTGTTTACAATGGAGAAGGACATGGAAAATATAGAATGTGGGGAAATAGGAGTGACATCTTTGAAAATACTCATGTTATAGAGGTGGTGGTGCTGGACACCTTAAAACACAAAGGTGGATAACTCCCTGGAACCTGATCAGGTATACCCTAGAGCAATGTGGGAAGCAAGGGAAGAGATTGCTGGGCCTCTTGCTGAGATATTTGTATCATTGGGAGTCACAGGTGACATTGGCTAATGTTGTGCGTTGTTTAAGAAAGGTGGTAAGGAAAAGCCAGGGAACTAGAGACTGGTGAGCCTGACATTGGTGGTGGTCAAGTTATTAGAGGGAATCCTGAGGGACAGGATTTACATGTATTTGGAAAGGCAAGGACTGATTAGGGATATTCAACATGGCTTTATGTGTGGGAAATCATGTTTCACCATCTTGGAGTTTTTTGAAGAAGTAATGAAGAGGATTGATGGCTGCAGAGTGGTGGGCGTGGTCTATATGGACTTCCGAAGGGTGTTCAACAAGGTTCAACAAGGTTCCTCATGGTAGACTGGGTAGCAAGGTTAGATCACAGAATAGAGGGAGAACTAGCTATTTCAATACATAACTGTCTCAAAAGGTAGAAAACAGAGGGTGGTGGTGGAGGAGGATTGCTTTTTAGACTGGAGGCCTGTGACCAGTGGTGTGCCACAAAGATTGGTGCTGGGTCCACTGCTTTTTATTCTGTCTGAAAACAATTTGGATGTGAACATAGGAGGTAGGGTTACTAAGTTTGCAGATGACACCAACATTGGAGGTGTAGTGGACAACAAAGAAGGTGACTTCAGAGTACAACAGGATCTTTTTCAGATGGGTCAATGGGCTGAGGAGAGGCAGGTCTGGAGTTAAATTTACATAAATGTGAGGTGCTGCATTTTGGAAAGGCAAATCAGAGCAGGACTTACACACTCAATGGTATGGTTCTGGGGAGTGTTGTTGAACAGAGACCTTGGAGTGCAGGTTCATAGTTCCTTGAAAGTGGAGTCACATGTATATAGGATGGCGAAGAATGTCTGGTATGCTTGTCTTTATCGGTCAATGCATTGAGTATAGGAGTTGGGAGGTCATGTTGCTGCTGTACAGGACATTGGTAAGGCCAATACTGCATTCAATTCTTGTTTCCCTACTATAGGAAAGATATTGTGAAACTGGAAAGGGTTCAGAAAAGATGTACAAGGATGTTGCCAGGGTTTGAGCATTTGAACTATAGTGAGGCGCTGAATAGACCCGGGTTGTTTTCTCTGGAGCATTGGAAGCTGAGTTGTGACCTTAAAGGTTTATAAAATCATAAGGGGCATGGATAGGGTAGATAGACATTCCCCAGTGTGGGGAATGCAGAACTAGAGGGCATAGGTTTAAGGTGAGAGGAGAAATATTTAAAAGGGCAATAAGGGGCAATTTTTTTCATGCAGAAGGTGATGCGTGTATGGAATGAGCTGCCAGAGGAAGTGGTGGAGGATGGTACAATTACAACATTTAAAAGGTATCTGGATGGGTATGTTAATAATTAGGGTTTAGAGGGAATTTGGCCCAAATGCTGGCAAATGGGACTACATTTATTTAGGGTATGTGGTCAGCATGGACAAGTTGGACCAAGGGGTCTTTCTCTGTGCCATGTATGTCTGTGTTGAGAAAAAAGGGCATACTGCAAGTCATGTTTGTCTTCTTTTAAATTTTGAGCATTTAAAAAAAACCTTTACATGATGTTGCTGACATTGTTGCATTTAATGCCAAAGGATATTTTCCATTTTCTGCCCATCAGATGAAATGAAAGTGTAACAGCTTTTGAAGAAGGATATTGTTCTTCTTCTTTGCACTTGCCACATTTTAAATTTTACTTTGACTTCACAAGCTCAATTTCAAGTAGTGTTTTGCTTTTGCCCTATCGCTCCTTTTTAAAATGTTATGCAACACGTTCAGATATGACCTCTTTTAACTTGTGCGTTGTTGGTATTGTGGAGCAGAGCTAGTCTGGTGAATTTTGGCCTTATATTTGCTTTGCTTTGCAGTGGTTCTCAAAACAAAATTAAACACTTAACTGTGCAGATGGGGCCCTCTTGTGGTGCAGTGGTATTTTCCTACCCCGGCGCATGAGGCTGAGATTCAAGTCTCATCTGCTCCTGATGTCTGTAATAACTTCTCTCAGCAGGTTCGTTAGAAAAACGGGTTAAATTGGAACATGGAGGTTCGAATTCAAAAATAGGTTGATGTTTCCAACAGGAACCGTTAGTCTCCTGTGACCCTTCTCTGATAAGGAATAGTCCTGCTATATATTCCCAGTCTTTTTTGATCAAGTAAAAGGTTTATTATCAGATAGTTTTTGCATTTTGGACTCTTGTATTGTCATGTGTGGTCCTGTTTACAAAATTCAGTTTGGTAAGGATACCAGACTTGGATAAAACAGTATAGGATGGATTTGTGTGAAAGCATGTTTGGATTAAAAGGTTTGGGTATTGGCGTTCAGTTCAATTTTTCGTAACAAATAGGAGACAAGTATTTAGGACAGCGTGTGGCCACTAAAATGAACTTTATTCACAACAAATACTTGTGAGAGCAATGCATCAGCTGTGATTAAATGTCTTCGTAATTTACAGTGACAAAAATATCTGAATATTGTGGTAACATGATGTCTTTGAAATCCGCAACAGCCAATTATAAGACATGTGGAAGTGAGCACAGTTTTCCCAGGTGATTGTGCATTTTAGAGTACACTTTCAAATCTTTAACAATGCAAGCATCTTTTTTTCATGTCACTGTCTTTTAGACTTGTTATAATATCATAAGAAAGAGAGGCAGTTGTAGATGACTCAGACCATCAAGCCTGCTGTACCATTCGACAAGATCATGCTTTTTCTGATTGTAGCCTTAACTGCACTGAGCTGATCGTTTCCTGAAACATTTGCCTCCATTGCTGATGAAAGATATATCTAACTTGGCCTTGAATGTCATCGATGACCCAGCATTCACTGCTTGATATGTGAGAATTCTAAACACTTGATTGGGAGGTTTGACTTTTTTTTGTGTTTGCAGCCTTGTATATTATTGTGGTGTGGGCAAGTTACCACCATCTACCTTTCATTCATCTACTTACCGAGAAATTTTACGGATATCCACATACTGAAATAACTAGTTAAACTTCATTGCATATAGGATCTAAAATAAGACCCTGAAGTAAGCAAGTTCAACTTCACAACCCAACTTAGCTATTATCTAATTAATAGTGGAATTGAGCTACGTTCCAGACAATGGCATCTGACTCTGGGTGTCCAGCATCCGATCCTTGTCTATTATGGTTCTCTGCAGCTCTGATGCTGATGAATCCCCAAGTTGAATTCTTAAAGGATTTTCTGTCATGTTAAGCTCATGGCGTGACGTTATTTAGGACATCTCTGAAGTCACCAAGTCTGTAGCTTGCTTTTATATGAGGAGTGAAAGTCACTTGCTCTCAACTGACCTTCTCTGTTCTTTGTTACATGTGGTGTTCGTTGTCTGTTTGGAACATAGCCTGTCCTCCCATGAAGTACTTCACCTCAGGACATTCCTTCTGCAGGCATTTTTAATTCCCCATTTGTCACAAGGTAGCGAGTTATGAAGCAGGTGTTAAAACAGTTCGTTAATGTTGCTTCAACTCCCCCCCCCCCCCCCCCCGCCCCGGGATAATTTAATTCCTTTGTAACAGTTTGTCCTTCTCCTTCTATTTCAGGACACATTGTATTTGACAAAGAATTATTGCGCACTTTTTGAGTCCATGAACAGTAATTAAAAGATTTGAACTTTACCTTGTCATAATTGCTTGGTCTGATTTAAATTGAACATTTTTGGTCAGTGATCATTCGAATTGTGGATGCAGAGCAGAAGTGACAAATGAGATGACATGACTGCTTGAGCACATTTGCTTTGATTTGCTACGTGGAGGCTGACAGGGACCATAGGTTTGAGTAATTCGCCGTGAGAGTGATGCCATTTGCCTTTAAATTTGCTAAACAAGAAGGGAAAAGGAATTCATTGATGAATGACAATAAACATGCCGAGAGAAGGGGCTGATGTAGAGCAATATTTTTGGGCATCCTGTAATTATATCCATGGCTGAAAGATAACCAAAAGACTGCACTGTAAGTTGTGGAAACTGGACCTTCTTAAATGTGGTTTGTTGCCCTTGTGTAAATATTATGGTGCTTATTGCATTATTAGCAAGGCAAACTTGTACATATGTTATGCCTTTAATATTTCGTGGTCTTTGAAATGGAATTTGAGAATTTGGAGCCAAAACAACAGCAAACCAGTGTCAAGGAAACACCTTCCACATCAGACAGATGTTCATCTGCACATTCGCTAATGTGGTCTACTGCATCCGCTGCTCCCGATGTGGCCTCGTCTACATCGGTGAGACCAAGCGGAGGCTCGGAGACCACTTTGTAGAGCACCTGCGCTCTGTTCACGACAAACAACAACACTTTCTGGTTGCGAACCACTTCATTTCCCCCTCCCACTCCTTGGATGACATGGCCATCCTGAGCTGCCTCCAGTGTCGCAACAAGGTCACCCGGAAACTGGAGGAGCAGCATCTCATATTCCGCCTTGGGAGCCTACAACCCAGTGGTCTCAATGTGGACTTGACTAGTTTCAAAATCTCCCCACCCCTGGCCACATCCCATGACCATCCCTGCCTCCTTGACCTGACACAACCTGTCTGTCTTCTCTCCCAACCATCCACTCCTCCCACCTCACTGACCAATCCCCATCACTGGTTACCTGCACGCACCTATCACCAAATCACCTACCTTCCCCAGCCCCACCCGTCCTCTCTATTTATTTAAGAGCTCCCTTCCCGTTCCGCCATTTCTGAAGAAGGGTCCTGACCTGAAATGTCAGCTTTCCTGCTGCTCTGATGCTACCTGGCCTGCGGTGTTCCTCCGGCTCCACACTGTTATCTCTGACCCAACATCGGCAGTTCTTACCATCTCTCAAGGAAACACAGATTTTGGGACTGAACGGAGAGATTTAGGGCCTTTGTGAGGTGATGGAGGCGTGTTAATACAAGGATGAAAATTTTAATATTGAATTATGCAGGACTTCAAGTCATTATTGGTCAGGGAAGGTGAATGGATGGGCAACAGTTGTGGACAAGCTCAAATGCATGGGTGAAAGGTCAGCCAGGCAAGTATTGGCTGAGTTCAGTCTACAGGTGACCAAGAGATGCATAAAGACTTGAGAAACTGGACTTTGAAAAGCAAATGTGTTGGAGATCTTTTTACAAGCTGTAATAGATGAGTTTTGCCAGATTCTCACAATGATATCTGATATTATTTTGGTCATCAATGATATGCTCAAAAGAATAAGAGCGTTAAAAAGTAGGAACGGTTGAATACCAACTTGGACCAAGTCATAAAATCTGTGCGGTACACTTCAAAACCATTTGGCCCATTGAGTCTGTACCAACCATACAAAGAGAAACCTACCCTAGCTCCGTAATGCCATCTTTACCAGGGCTAATTCACGTAGACCACACTTCTGTGGACACAATGGGGTAATGTACCTCGCCAATCTCCATAAACTGCACATATCTGGACAATAGGAGGAAACCCGATCCCACAGCGGAACCCAAGCGGACATGGGGCGAATGTGCAAACTCCACACAGTTGGCTGAGGCTGGAATCAAACACTGGTCCCTGGTGCTATGAGGCAGCAGTGCGAACCACTGCAACAATACTGCCCATGGGAATTACAGGCATAAATTTTATTGTGGTAAAACTAACCCTAATTGGAGGTGCTATTTTTGAACCAGGGAGCAAGTTGATTAACAAAGTGTGACAATACTGTGGCTTTTGGAGATGTGTTTTGTTGTGGGTTTTTATTTTTCGGAGAGGTTTTCAGGCATTGGTGCTGAGTTGTCTCCTCCAAGCCAGTAAAGTAAATGGCTTGTGAAGTTTTGGGGTTTCCTTTTCAAGTTGGATCCATCAAAGCTGCATGAATGGATGGAGTTAGGCTCACAGAACCATGGTTTTAATCTAGCTTTCAGCAGTTGCTGGGTTCTTGGAGTTGGCTGTGGAAGCGACAACATCTTTCTGTTACAGCGAAAAGCTGGAGTTCTCTCTGCTGCCATAATTGGATGTGAGACAATCTACTTTGGTGACTTTGCCCTTGTGAGGAGGTGTTTATGGGATGTTACCATAGGGGAACACTTTGCGTTTAGAAGTTAAATAATCTATTACTCTAACTCGTCCAAAAGAGTTCAAGTTATACCAATTACTGTTTCTTCTGTCAGTACTTTAACTGTAGGCTAAGAATATAGTGTGTGTTGCTGAAAACTCGGTAGCGTGATCAATTGAATTGCAACTGCAATGCACCACCTTACTCTTGCCTTTCAAGAAAATAAACGTTAGGGTCAAGGCTATCACCTTGATATGTTTGCAGGGGCTTTGTTTTGGCCCAGCAGAAAAGGAGTATTAATTTTAGGTATTACATGTGATTTCTTTGTGCTTTAGGCTCCTGGGTGGAATTACCGTTGAAAAACAATGGCAATGATAATGGCGCCAGCTGCACTGGGGGACTGGAGCACGTGCCCTCATCTTCCTCCATTCACAATGGAGACATGGAAAAAATACTTCTGGATGCTCAGCACGAATCGGGTCAGAGCAGTTCTCGAGGAAGCTCCCACTGTGATAGGTGAGAAACACTTGAGAATTATATAGAAATATGCGAAGTAAATGGTCATGACTTGTATTGATTTTTTTCAATGTTACACGTAATTCTGTGACAAACTAAATACTCTGAATGGCCTTCCTGCTGCAAGTAGACTGAAGTAAATCTTGAATTTTATTTGAGGCTCCAGTGGTTAATCCTGTTCACTTGGTTGCATGCTTTTTTTTTTAAGAAGTTCAGTTTATTGTGAGGTTTCCACTCACATGTGAATGGATTATCCGAATTTGATCTTGCTTGTTCTTCATTGGACATTATTATGAAACACGATAAATGGAAAGAAGGGGCATCTATGTTTGACAAACAACCATTCTCAATTTATACATCCTGTATAATTTCTGTTTCTGAAATGGTCATAGGGTCATAGAATTCCTACAGTGTGGAAAGAGGCCATTTGGCCCATTGAGTCTACACTGACACTTGGAAGAGCATCCCACCCAGACCTAGCCCCACTCCTGCTCCACAGCCACCCTAGTTCCATAACCCCACATTTCCCACGGCTAATCCACATATCCTGCACATCCCTGGGCACTATAGGCAATTTAGCATGGCCAATCCACCTATCCTGCACATCTTTGGACTATGGGAGGGAACTGGAACCACTACTGGAAATCCACACAGACATGGGGACAAAGTGTAAACTCCACAGTCACCCAAGGCTGCAGTTGAACCTGCATTTTGAGAATAAATTGACTGTTTAGAATTACAGTGTCTAGTTTAATTTGAAATGAGCTTCTGATCCTGTTAACTTTGCATGCAAAGATTATCTACTTCACCTCCACAACCAACCGTACGTTAGCCATCTGCCAGTGAATGCTTATTACTTGCAATTTGCATACAAAACCATCACTGAATACAGAACATGTAACAGTACAGCACAGGAACAGGCTGTTTGGCCCACCATGTCCGTGCTGACTGTGATGCCATGCTCAACTGTTGTCATCTGCCTGCACATGGTATATAACCCTCTGTTCCCTGCCTGTTCATGTGTTTGTTTAAATGCCTGTTGAACGTTGCTGTGGTATCTGCTTCTCCCAACTTCCTGGCAACACATGCTACACACTGACCACCCTCTGTGTACGAAACTTGCCTTGCACATCTCATTAAAACTTTCCCTTTCCCTCACTTAGTTTAAACTTGTGCCCCCTTGTATTTGATGTTTCCATCCTGGGAAAGGGACTCCAACTGACAACTCTATCCATGCATTTCGTAATTTTACATACTTGTATCGGATTGCCAAGTTTTTCCAACCTCTTCTTATAGCTAATACTCTCCACTCCAGGCAACATGGTGGTGATGCTCTTTTGCACCTTCTTCAAAGCCTTAGGGTCTTTCCTATAGTGTGGCAACCAGAACTGCACACAATACTCAAAATGTGGACGAAATAAACTCTCATATAGCTGCAACATGACTTGGCAACTTGAATATTCACTGCCTTGACTGAAGGCAAGCGTGCTGAATGCGCACTTCTCTACTTTTACCCACTTGTGTTGTTGCTTTCAGGGAGTTATGAGATTGCACCCCAAGATCCCTCTGTAGTGTTCTTCCCTCAGTCAGACGTTTGTGGAGACCAACTGGTTGTGTAACAGTGAAATACAAAATACTGGAAACACTGATTTTGTTGGCAACTTGCATGGAAAATATGCAATTGTTAATTTGGTTTAATGCAGAAAATTCTGTGCTGTGTACACGATTGTGAGTCATGTTGGCCATTAGAATTCTTCCTATGTAGTGAGGAAGACGAGTTAAGGGTTGTAGCATTGACAAAACTGAAGCATTTGCAAAGTCACCGTTGCCTTTTCTTCAAGAGGTTTTGTGAAGTAATTTTGCTCACATTGATCTTGAGTGTTGGGAGTTATGTGGACCGTTGTGGAGAGTTCACAGTTTTAGTGAAGCCAGAAAGTTTCATTTACTCCTTTACTAAGAGAAGCTTCGTTTGTAAGTATCTTCAGTATGCCAAAAGAATTTGTTCAACCAAATTAGAAGCATGGTTGTGTTGGCTCAATCCACGAATGGTGTCACTTTTTTCTCAAAATCACTCCTGTCATTTAAGTTTGAAAATTTTTGTGTTGACTGAACAGTGTAATGCAGCTTTTCTCTACTCTCTTGCTTATGGAACTCTCATATTAGTCATCATTTCATTCTTTGTGACAGATTTAACTGGAGCATTTTTACAGCAGTCTGGTTGACTTAGAGGTGTTTTCTGTAAAAATGTGACTTTCACAGGACAATTTGCTTCAACAATGGCAAGCGCCTGCCTTGTAACAAATCAGTATTCCATGAGAGTTTACCATTAAAAATACAAGAGAATTGTAGGAAGTGCAAATGTATTCTTGTATTGATTTTTACATTTTAGGTGATTGTGTTGTGAAAATTCCACCCAATGACTTTGTCACTGAATTCTGACTATCAGTAACAGATGATTATGATACCACTGACTGAACTGATGTCGCAGAAAGCTCATTGGAATTACTGAGCTGAGATGTTCTACTTTCAGATCATGAGGTGCATGGTTTCAAATGTGTCAGAGCTCTAATAGCTTGCTTGTTGGCTTCTCAGGTCAAATGACTCAACAATACAGTGCTAATTTGTTTTATACATGTTATTGTGGCTTCAAGAGATTTACCGGCTAGCTTTTGCACTTCATCTACATTACCCATTTGATGCTCACAAGTTTTTTTTAGCATTTGTTGTACTCAGTATCAATTGATTTTAACTGTCCAGGTGTTCACTTTTCCAGCCAGTCTCGCCCCCAGACACCTCAGATGGCTCAACCAGTGTTCGACTTAGAACTGCAGAGGAGCAAAGACAGTAGCTCTCAGGTATTTTGAAATCGTGTAGTTGTCTGTTGATTTTAATTTTCTGCAAAACAAAACTCTGGTTTATACAAGCCCTTCAACATGGTCAAAATTTGAGAAGCACTTCACAGGAACTTATGCACCCTGATGTTGACACCAGGCCACATGAAATATTAATGCAGCTGACACAAGTGAGGCGGGGGAGGGGGGGGGGAGCGGGGAGAGAGAGAGACAGAGATCAGCAAGTGTTGGGATGAAATTACAGAGCTTGGTATTCCATACATTCACAGGGTGAGGGCATTTGCCTATCCCTAGTTGCCCAGAGGGCAGTTATGAGGCAACCACATTGCTGTGGATCTGGAGTGACATGTAGGCCAGACCAGTTAAGGATGGCCGTTTGCTTCCCTAAAGGAAGATTGCAGCAATGAAGATAAAAGCATGGAATAAGATGAACAGGCAAGGTGAGGAGCTACTTGGAATACGGGACTAGAACATAAGAACGAGAGCAGGAGTAGGCAGTTCAGTCCCTCGTGCCTGATTTGAGTCATGTTACTTAAGCCTCAAAATGGTGAAAATGTTTAGTGGATTGGTGAAAGAATGACAACTTGTTGAAGTGCGTACAAGATTGCAAAAGGCAAATGTAATCTTGGAGGAAGTGACAATAAATGAGAACAGAAAGGTTTGAGAACGTAAAGATGAAACTGATTAAAAACAAAAACAAGAAAGAACATGAGTGGATCTTCTGTGCTGTTGTTTAGGAGCAAAACACTGCCCATTTCTACTCATTCCCCCAAACTGAATCTTTTTTTCTCTTTAAGTAGTCTCATGTTCTTAGTTGTTGAGGCTGAGATGAGATCATCGATGATTGTATGAAATGACAGAGCAGGCACTAGGGACTGAATTGCCTACTCCTGCTCTCGTTCTTGGATTTTAAGTCCTGTTTCCTCACCTTGCCTATTCATCTTACTCTATGCCTCTGTCTTCGTTGTTGCATTCTCTCTTTTCTCAACCTTTATTTCTCCATGTCCCATGTTTCTGTCAGTAACCTGTTCCTTTCACTGATTTGTTTCTGGCTCCATTCTTTTTCTCTTCCGTATGCCTAGAAGCAATTTTATGCCTTTTTTTTTAAACTTTCATTTCAATTGTCCGTTTACGTCATATAGCGTAACTTAGGTATTCCTGTGCAATCAGTTCAGGGATAAGATCTTATGTCAAGAGAGCTAAAGATACCAGACAGAATGAATGAATTTATGACTATTGGAGTTGCTTATCTGCCTCTGTATTCTTCCCAGTGACTCTCCTCCCTCACGAGTAAGCTCCAGACATATTTACTTGAAACTCAGTGGCAGGAGTAAATTCTCTTTTGATTTTGACGTGACTTTGGGCGGATGTTCCATCTCTGGCAGTTGCATAGTTTTATTATCATACAGTTTGTTGCACACTTGGTGTATGAGTTGAAATTGAAAATGTTCAACTGATAGAGAAATATCATTTAACTCCTCACTTAAATGTAGTGACAGGGACTTGGAGTGGACTGCAGCATACTCAATATGGATTTGGTATAGCACTTCATAGAATTGATTAGAACGTAACTGAAATCATGTTTCAGTTGCATCCTTGCTGCAGAAATTAGGTGCAAATATTTACAGCTCGTTTTCAGCTTACTCTCATTAAGGCAGATAAGCATGCATAAAATGTGAGTTATGTGCTCTGCAAGGGTGTGATTCCATCCTGCAATATGTTATCAGCTCATGCCATGACGGAAAAATTTGATGTTTAAAAGTTAATGGTATTTTTTTGACTTCTGCCCTTGGAAATGCATGAAACAGAAGAGGTCTTTTTGCTTACTTCAAGAAAGCTGCTGCACCTGTTGACTACACTCAAAGTTTCCATCTCTGGAATTTTTCACCGTAGAAAGTTGGGTTGTGAAGTGCATCCGCGGCTGATCGGAACACTTTTTTTGACTTTGAAGGGAACTAGGTTTATGGCATTGAGGCAGGAAAATGGAGTTAACCATTATTAGATTTGCCATGGTCTCTGTGAATTGCTACTTCTGCTTGTAAATTTTAAAGTTTAAAAATGTCTGAAACTGCAGTTGTCCATTTCAACAGGAAGAATGAATAAGAAGCAGATTACAGAAATGGTGAGATTGCAGAGTTGTCAAATGCACCGAGACCAGTGTGTCCCAGTGTGAATTGCAAGAGGTTAGTGTGCATGTACTGCAAGAAACTAGGAAAACTCATTGAATGTTACTGTTTATTGTGAAGTGAATTGAATACAGGAGTGAAGAAGTTATGCTTCAGATTTTCAGCTCGTTAGTGAGACCACAAAAGGAGGACTGTGTACAATATGGTTTTAGAGAATAAATGCAGAAAATAAATATAATCCTGAGGTGACTTTTACCTGGATCTGGGCAACTTCATTTGCCACATTGCAAGAGTTGATGTTACTGGTTATTCTTTATCTTCAGCTAAACCCAACTCTATAGCCTCGAGTTCCACTTAACTAGTTTCTTGAAAAATTTTATCATTGAGAACTGAGGATGTTAAATGTTAAAAGTTTGTCTTGTATGTTTGGGAGGTGACAGAAATTACTCTTGAGCTTTCTTTCTAGTCTGAAGATGATTGTTTGGAAAGAGACCAAGAGGTCGAAATCATGATCAAGAGGAGTGCCGAATGGATATCTGACTGGTCAAGTAGACCTGAAAATGTTCCACCCAAGTGAGTATTGCTTTATCTGTTGTGAAAGACGTCTGTTGTTCAATACATCGAGTTCACTGTGAATCAGATACCATGCACGTGTCTGTGTGGAAAACATTTGGCTTACCCAGGACAGGCCCATTGCTCATAGATGCTGTGCTGCTCAAAGTGCTACTCCGGCTTAGCTGGTTAAAACACCTGCCTTATAACCTGTAAGCCTCTAAGTCTTTTTTAATTTGTACATCTTTGGATTGCTGTGATCTGCCTGTACTGCTCGTAAAAATAAGCTCTTCTCTGTATTTCGGTACACGTGACAATAAAATGAATGAATCAATCGAGATGATGGTGGCTGTATTTGTTCATTTTATCTGGAGCAGGCATCCCAAGTCATTGAGCATAACGCATCAGAAAGTCATTTTGCCAGTCATGTTTATGCCAATTGCCTGCCTAAAGAACCCAGCTTGATACACACTGCTGCCTTGTCTCTGTTGCCCTGCATGTTTGTCCCCTCCAAATAATTTTCTCATACGCTTTTGAAAGTCACGATTGATAGTTCCTACACTGTCTTCAGAGGTGTTATAACGTCTCTGAATAGGTTGATTATGAATAGAAAACAAAGATCTAGGTTCAAGTCCCACCTGTTGCACAGCTGTGCAATATTGTCTTTGAATAGGCTGATACTAAAATTTGGAACAAAAACGCATTGTTAAGAACAGAGCTGTATGTTTCTGTGACAACAAGGTGCAGGGCTGGATGAACACAGCAGGCCAAGCAGCATCATAGGAGCAGAGAGGCTGACGTTTCGGGCCTAGACCCTTCATCAGAAAAGGCCTTTTCTGATGAAGGGTCTAGG